TTTCAAAGTTATTTGTGCTAGTTGTTGCGTGAACTTGCACCCTTTTTTCCTATATGACTGTGTCGTAGTTCGCTTCTTGTGCTGGCCATTTTGACTTGTCTTCTTGTAACCAAGAAGGCCGGCTCGAAGGACCAATATTTACGCGCCGGCGTCTTTGGATTTTTAAGGCGCTCGCACGTAAAGAAAATAAAGTGAAAAAAACAACAGCGTATTAGTGTGTAATTCTTAACAATAATAACAAATGTTTGCTTTATTTGTGGAGGAAAATGTTTAATAAAACAGTGTGAATTGAAATAGATATTTTGCTGATAGTTTAATGAGATTACCTTTCTGACGTGGTGTGGTGGCTGGCAGTCGCTATCCTGGTCTTCAAGGAAGTGAAGGAGTGCCAACAAACGAAAAAGGGTTTAAGCCCGCCGAACAGTAACCTTCGTTGAGTTTCCCCTCAACTCAGTTACCGTACGGCGGGGCATATTGTTAACGGCTGGAATGTTAGACGTATCTTATATATATGTGTGTGCACTCAGATACAAAATTATTTAACGCGCACTAGGGTGGTACAGCATATTTAGGTATGGGCCTAAACACTCAGTTTTCGCTTACCAGATCATTGTAGCGTTTTTCAAGTAGAGCCAAACGCCATAATGGAGGCCGATCGGAAGCTCATATCCTCCGCCCCTCCAGGACGGCCTATCGCCAATTATTCTGACAGCCAGGCTGCTATTAGATCGCTGAAATCTAATGGAACAACGTCCAAAGTAGCCTTCGAATGAAGGAAAACTCTCATACTTCTTCTTCTTCTTTTTTGGCGCTGTAACCGCCTAAGCGATTTTGGCCGAGTTCAGCAAAGCACGCCAGTCGTTTCTCCTCTGTGCCAACTAACGCCAATTGGAAACGCCAAGTGAAGCCAAGTCCTTCTCCACCTGATCTTTCCATCGCAGTGGGGGCCTCCCTCTTCCTCTGCTACCACCAGCGGGTTCCGAGTTGAATACTTTCAGAGCTGGAGCGTCGGTGTCCATTCGAACGACATGACCAAGCCAGCGGAGCCGCTGTACTTTAATTCGCTGCACTATGTCCATATCGTTGTAAAGCTCATACAGCTCATCGTTCCATCGTCTGCGGTACTCGCCATCGCCAACGCGTAAAGGACCGTAAATCTTCCGCAAAATCTTTCTCTCAAACACCCCAAGAGCCGCCTCATCGGATGTTGTCATTGTCCATGCTTCTGCGCCATATACCAGCACGGGCATGATGAGTGACTTATAGAGCGTGGTTTTCGTACGTCGAGAGAGGACTTTACTCCTGAATTGCCTACTCAGTCCAAAGTAGCACTTGTTGGCAAGAGTGATTCTACGTTGGATTTCAATGCTGACATTATTATCGGTGTTAATGCTAGTTCCCAAGTAAACGAAATTCTCTACTTTCTCGAAATTGTAACTGTCAACAGTGACGTGGGTGCCAAGGCGCGAATGTGCTGACTGTTTGTTTGATGACAGGAGATACTTCGTCTTGTCCTCGTTTACCACCAGACCCATGCGCTTTGCTTCCCTATCCAACTTGGAAAAGGCAGAACAGACTTCGCGGTTTTTGTTACCGATGATGTCGATATCATCGGCATAAGCCAGCAATTGCACGCTCTTGTAGTAAATTGTTCCTGAGCGGTTCAGTTCTGCAGCTCTTATTATTTTCTCCAACATCAGATTAAAGAAGTCACATGAGAGGGAGTCGCCCTGTCTGAAACCCCGTTTTGTGGCGAACGGCTCGGAGAGGTCTTTTCCAATTCTGACGGAGCTGGTGGTATTGCTCAACGTCATTTTACACAGCCGTATGAGTTTTGAGGGGATGCCAAATTCAGACATAGCGGCGTATAGGCAACTCCTTTTAGTGCTGTCAAAAGCGGCTTTAAAGTCGACAAATAGGTGGTGAGTGTCGATCCTTTTCTCGCGGGTCTTTTCCAAGATTTGGCGTATTGTGAATACCTGGTCTATGGTGGATTTGCTAGGTCTAAAGCCACACTGATAAGGCCCAATCAGTTCATTGACGGTGGGCTTCAGTCTTTCACACAATACGCTCGATAAGACCTTGTAACCTATGCTTAGAAGGCTGATCCCGCGGTAGTTGGCGCGAATGGCGGGGTCACCTTTCTTGTGGATTGGGCAGAGCACACTTAAATTCCAGTCGTCGGGCATGCGTTCATCTGACCATATTCTGCACAAGAGTTGATGCATGCACCTTATCAACTCCTCGCCGCCGTACTTGAATAGCTCAGCTGGCAGGCTGTCAGCTCCAGCGGCTTTGTTGTTTTTCAGCCGCGTTATTGCTATACGTACCTCGTCATAGTCAGGCGGTGGAACGTCGACTCCGTCATCATCGACTGCGGGCTCGGATTCTTCTTCTCCACAACTTTCTGTGCTGCTGCCATTTAGTAGGGCGGAAAAGTGTTCCCTCCATAATTTAAGTACGCTCTGGACATCAGTTACTAGGTCGCCATTATTGTTCTTACAGGAGTGCGCCCCGGTCCTTAAACCTTCCGTAAGTCGCCTAACTCTCTGGTAAAATTTTCGGGCATTCCTCCTGTCGGCCAGCATTTCAAGCTCTTCGCACTCACGTATTTCTGCCTCTCTCTTCTTGTTGCGGCAAATACGTCTCGCTTCCCTCTTCAGATCCCTATAGCGGTCCCACATAGCGCGCGTTGCGCCCGATCGCAGCGTGGCCCTGTAGGCGGCATCTTTTTTCTCTGCAGCTTCCTGACACTCCTCATCATACCAGTTGTTCTTTCGGGCTCGCTGAAATCCGACTACTTCTTCGGCGGCGGTACTTAATGAGCGGGAAATGTGGTTCCACTGCTCGCATATGTCGGTTTGTTGAAGAGTGCTCTCTGAGAGCAGGTGTGAGAGTCGAGTAGCGAAAGCGCTGGCTGTCTGTTGTGATTGCATCTTTTCGACGTTAAGCTTTCCTTGCATATTTGGGCGCACATTTTTTGCTGCACAGAGGCGGGTGCGTATCTTGGCTGCAACAAGATAGTGGTCCGAGTCGATGTTTGGGCCTCGGAGTGTGCGTACGTTTAAAACACTGGAAGCGTGCCTTCCGTCTATCACAACATGATCGATTTGGTTTCTCGTTTTTCGATCCGGAGACAGCCAGGTAGCTTGATGGATCTTTTTATGCTTGAACCTAGTACTGCATACTACCATGTTTCGGGCCCCGGCGAAGTCGATCAGCCTCAATCCGTTGTCGGACGTTTCGTCGTGGAGGCTGAATTTTCCGACGGTGGTTCCAAAGATCCCTTCTTTGCCCACCCTGGCATTGAAGTCGCCAAGCACGATTTTGATATCATGAGGGGGGCAGCGCTCGTACGTGCGCTCCAAGCGCTCATAGAAGAGATCCTTGGATGCCTCATCCTTCTCTTCCGTCGGGGCATGGGCGCAGATGAGCGAGATGTTGAAGAATCTCGCTTTGATGCGGATTGTGGCTAGACGCTCGTCCACCGGGGTGAACGACAGTACTCGGCGACGGAGTCTCTCTCCCACCACAAATCCAACTCCGAATTTGCGCTCCTTTACATGGCAGCTGTAGTAGACGTCGCAAGGCCCCAGACATTCTTTGCCTTGCCCCGTCCAACGCATTTCTTGGATGGCGCTGATGTCAGCTTTTGTCCTTACGAGGACATCAACCAGCCGGGCAGAGGCACCTTCCCCATTAAGGGTCCGGACATTCCAGGTGCATGCCCTCAAATCGTAGTCCTTTAAACATTTGCCGTGGTCGTCATCATAAGGGGGGGTCTCATCCGAGGCTTTGCCTTGCTTCTTCACTGGAAGTGGTTTTTACGTGGCGGGTCCCAAGCCCAGCGCACAACCCATTGCTGGGACACTCTCTCATACTGCTGGCATCAAAATGCTTATTGACTGTAGTATGGGTCCCTGGACACAGGGACATTCCTGGCAACTGCTTAGCAGACCAGCTGGCAAGGAGCGAGATGGAAATATCTGAAGTCAATTCTTCTCAAAATGCGGACATACCTCTGACCTCCTGCAAGCACAGGCCACAGATCCAACTCATCGGGGAGGTAAATACGAGGTGGGCTGAGGAAAGAACCTGCTATATTACCAAGTAAATCGATTCATATCTCTCACTCGGCTGGACCGCTAATCGCACATATTAGTAGTTAGGGTCATCAGCGGACACTGCCTGATGGGCACACGTGAAAAAAGTGAGGATACCCCACCAACGACTTTTGTCGCAGTTGAAGAGCCAAGGAAGAGGTGGAGAGCGTCGAAAATTATCTCTGCCATTGTCCCGCCCTGGCCATGATGCGCAACCATTTCTTCAACAAGTAGTTTTTAGATTGTTTAGCCGACCTGAACTCGGCGAACATTTTCGACTTTCCGTGCTATAGAAAACGCACTCGGTCGTTCAATTACTAAGACAGAAGAAACCAATCCGAGCTCCGCGCGGGGCAGCCACTCTAACCTAACAAAGTACATATGCAAAACTTTGACTAAAATGTACTGCGTATTTAGGTAGATTTTCAAGGATGGTTAGATTAGACGGTCTGTTCTTGTCAAGAGCTCACTCAGTGATCTCACAGGCCGAAAGGAGATTTCTCTAAAAAAACTAGTACCATTTAAGTGGTGCTATACTTAAGTTGTCCATGTCGTCGAAGAAATGGTTTCACAGAAATCAAAAGCGCTTTCCCCGAAGTGCAGGAAATTCCTAAAGGAAAAAAAGTGTTAAAAACTCTTCTATGCCGAGTTCCCATTCACTTATCAAGTGATGGTAGTCTAAAGGTGCTTAGTATACCTCGACTCAGATCTCAAAATCTTGTAGCAACTCTTTTCCTTCGCTTCCTCATTACCGAAACAGGAGTTTGATTTTGGGTCTAGTGAATCATATCGAATGAATCATTGCCGAACTGGTATATACAAACCTTGCCGGGAACTCAGCCTGAAAAGCATTTCAGTAATCTTTATTTCATCTTTATTTAATTCAGAAGTCTTTAATCCAGATTGGAACTTCTTCGTTGCTTGAAAGGATGTCGATTCTCAGTCTCTTCTATGGGAACCTTGAAAGTTGTGTCCAGAGTTTCCGTTATCTGATAGCCAAACCTCTCTGTTTGATTCCAACTCTGTTTGCAATAGAGGCTGCTGGTTAGACGCCTAGTCTTACAGCCGGTTACTCAATGTCGGGCTAACTGCAGGTTAATACGTAATTCGTAATAAAAATAAAAACAAAGATGCGTAAAGGTAAAGGCGAAGATGAAACACACAAGGGTATAAATAACAATAAATATAACGAGAAATATGCGGATGAGGGTAACGATAAAAGGAAAGGTAAAGATACAGGTAAAAATTAAGATAAAGTAATTATAAAGAAAAGATATACATATGTATATGGAGGGGAGCTTAGCGCTCATATACTCACCACACCTGAACTTTCCACACCTTAATTCACCGTACCTTTACTCACCACACTCAAACTGACCACTTCTCCCGAACTTACCACACCTGAACCCACAACACCTTAATTCACCAAACCCAAACACGCCACCCCTGAACTCAACACCTGAACTCACCACACCGAAATTCACCACACCTTAACTCGCCACACCTGACAAGGATAAAGGGGTGTATAAAGATAAATGAAAACAGTGTAAGATAAATGTAATTGCAAAAGTTTTTTCCTATAGCGATCGCCCCTCGGCAGGCAATGGCGAACCTCCGAGTGTTTTTATGCCATGAAAAACAGATTATCATAAAAATACAATCACCTTTCGGAGTCAGCGTAAAACTGTATCTCCCCTTTTTGTGACAACATCAAGGCGCACGCTACAAATCGGAGGAGAAGCTCGGCCAAACACTAAGCGCCAATAAACATATACATAATTGTAACGAAAGGAGGGGGATAGCGATAAAGATAAAAAAGAAGCAAGAGGTAGAGGTAGAGGTAGAGGTAAAAAATACTGTATTTTTCTTCTTGTATAATATAATATGTCACGGATTTAAATCCGCTGTGATGTAGTGGTAAGCGCACTGCTTTTTCACTCATCAGCACTCGGCCAAACACTAACATACAGGGTACGAAAATAAACTGTACAAAACAATTCCCATTTGCTCATCGATCATCATATCATTTGTGGTTTTGTACAGTTTTGTAAATAGTCAGAAACAAATTGTAAGATTCACTGTCATTTTCCCCAACGAGAAACGTTTGCTTTTCGTTTGTGACAATTGTACCATAGGGTACGTTTTATATGTATGCAAACGTTTCAATTACGTGAAAATTTACAGAAAAAATTATTTTTCACGTAATTGAAACGTTTGCATACATATAAAACGTACCCTATGGTACAATTGTCACAAACGAAAAGCAAACGTTTCAATTACGTGAAAAATAATTTTTTCTGTAAATTTTCATATCCAATTCAATTAAAAAACATTTTTATTTTTTTATTCATTGCAGCCATTCGTTTTGTATTTGTTTATTGCATATATGTACATACATAAAAATATTTTCCCTGCACGATTCATCTCGTTTGTTGTTTCGTCTGTAACTACTAAACTACTGTAGTGTACTATCGCCAAAGTGAACTCAGCCGTTTTGTTTCGTATTGTACCGAACTGTTAAAGTAATAAACGAAACGAAATAGTAACGTACAATATAGTTTATTTTCGTACACTGCTAACATATGTGTAAGCGCCAATCTATTATTATTATTAATACATATATGAATCCCAAATTACGTCAAATGAATGGCTAACTGTACTGGGTATTATGGATTTAAATATAATCTTAAGCTTATAACATTATCTTAACTAGCCTGTCGTTTTATTCACAACTAACCAAATAGAGTATTGATTATGAGACACGTAGATATGTAACGTGCATACAAAAGTTTTACTTCTACAGTGTGACCCATGTGCACTTACTTTTTTTCTAAAGTCTCAATCTTTGACGTAACTGAACCGCAGCGAAGAACGTAATTTGCCTGAGGAAACAAAAGATCTTTTGACAAATTATGTAGTAGCTGCTTACTAAGAATATAAAAATGTAAAAAATATTTGAATTGCCACTCAATCCCACTCGCATCTTTAATTGCAACCAGTCTCCAATCTCAATCACCTGAACTCGCTTTTGTGTGAGAAATGCGTGTGTTACTGCTATAATAATTACATAGTACCAACCACGTAAGTCATCAACAACGACGACGATGACATCAACCATTGCCACAGCACAAGCCAAGAATAATTTCAATGCAAAAATAAAAATAAAAACAGAATACAGTGTTTTTCCACATTTTTTTCCAATTCAAATGAATACATATTTTCTTTTGCATTATCATTGCAGGCATACCGGAAACATGTCTATTGCCAATGGACTTTGGCTATTGCCGAGCCAAAGTCAAGCGCTACTATTTCGATATGCGCAGCATGAAATGCGCCATGCTCTACTTTGGCGGCTGTGCGGGCAACGTCAACAACTTCAAGTCGTTGGAGGAATGCAATCGAGTATGCCTGAATGGTTATGGCGATTATGACAGTCCAAATGATGTGGTAGCCGTCAACAAAGTGGCAAGCGGACGTGATTAAGGACACGATATCGAACAGAAAGTATCTATATGGTACTCATTTAAAGTATCGCTTTAAAAATATCGGGTACCCATTAATATCGGAATGAAAATACTCGATATTCCAAATATCGATACCAAAATCCAAAAAATTTATATGAATATAGGTCTTGTATATAGGCCGCTGTGGTGTAATGATTAGAAGTGCTCAAAACTTTAAAATAAAAAACAACTTCCCATTAAAACAAAATCGCCGTTTAAAGTTGACATAAAACTGTAGGGACCCCTTTTGTGCCACAACATTAATAGCCCGAACACAATGAAAACGACGAGCTATGGACCATAGTTGTCAAATTATTTTAACACGTACTCTTATGTAGATAATTATTTTGGCGACGACCGGGCTACATGACGACTGTGGTTGTGGCCAGATTAGATCTATTTATATCTTTCCAGCGACAGGTAAGGTTCTTCCTCTTCTTTTATGTCAAACTCGTACAAATTCATGATGTCGCCGACGCATTCAAAAAAATCATGTCGCCTTCGACAAAGCGTTTATACAATGAAGATTAGTGATGTGCTGAATTGCCGGTACCCAATACTCGGTACCCAATACTTCAGGAAGATTTCGGTACCCAATACTTCCTTTTCGGTACCCAATACCGATTCTATACATAATTGCAGCTTTTTGACATAATTTTCAACAGAATATCTGTCAAAAAAGTTGCATCGACTTTATTTCTACTATGAATATGCTTCACAATTAGTACGTGTAAGACGATGCTTTCCTAAAAGTTTAACAATTTGTACTAAGCAATGTGGAAACCACTATCAAAACACTCTCATCGCCTTCTTAATATTGTCGCAACAGTAAAATACCGTTTTATCAAATTGCACCTTCGTAGATCTAAAATTTAAGAAAAATGCTTTGACGGATGAAGGAAGTCTTTCCGGCCTACAAAGATGACATCGTCCGATTCATCTAGAAACAAATGTTTCAAATAAGGAAGATTTTCTCCGCACTTTCTTTTGATAAGCTAGGCTCCTCTAAACCGCTTTTATTTTTGGTCTACATGCGTT